ACATAAGGAAATACAAACAGATCAATGGAATAAAACTGAAAGTCCAGAAATAAACCTGTCCATTTATGGTCAATTAATTTTTGACAAGAGTTATGAATTCAATGAAAAAAGGACAGTCTCTTCAACAAATGGCACTGCAACAACTGGATATTCACGTGCAAAAGAATAAATCTGGACCCCTATCTCACAAAAATGAGTTCCAAATGGATCATATACCTAAATGTAAGACCGAAAATTACGTAACTCCTAAAAGAAAACATAGGGAGTAAATCAACATCACCTTGAGTTATTCAATGGTTTCTTAGATACAACACCAAAAGCACAAGAAACAAAAGAAAAAATATATATAGATTGGGCTTTATGAAAATGAAAACCAATATTGTAAATGATACTATTAAGAAAGTAAAATGACAACACAGAGAATAGGAGAAAATACTTGTGAATCATTACCTGACAAGGGACTTTTAAGCCAGAACATATAAAGAACTCTTATAATTCAATAATAAAAAGACAACCCAATTTAAAAATGGGCAAAGAATTTGAATAGGCCCATTTCCCCAAAGAAGATATACAAATGACCAATAAACACATGAAAAGATGTTCAACATTATTAATCATTAGGGAAATGCAAATCAAAACTACAATGAGATATAACCCTTCTAAAAGTGGCTAAAATCAAAAAAGACAACAAGTGTTGGCAAGGAACATTACATGTGAAAAAACTGGAACCCTCCTATTAGGGAACTGCCAATGGGAATGTAAAATGGTGCAACCATACTGGAAAACAGACTATTCCTCAAAAAATTAAAGAGTTACCATATGACCCAGCAATTCCATTCTTAGGTATATAGCAAGAGAAATGAAATGAAAATATATGTCTAACTCAAAAACAGGTATACAAATGTTCACAGCAGCATTATTCATAATAACTAAAAAAAAGAAACTCACCTGTCCATCAACTGATGAATGAATAAACAAAATGGAACATTATTTGGCAATAAAAAAGAATGAAACACTCTACATGTTACAAAATGGATGCTGTTTGAAAACATTACAGTAAATGAAAAGCCAGTCACAAAAGACCACATAGTATATGAATCTGTTCTACGAAATGTCTAGAATAGGCAAATCCCTTGAGAAAGAAAATAGATTAGTGGGTTTATTTGGGCCTAGGGTGGGGACTGGGGATGGAGAGTGGCTGATAAAGGGTAAAGGGTTTCTTTATGGGATGATGAAAATATTCTGAAATTAGGTTGTGGTGATGGTCGTACAAGATACAAAAAATCACTAAAGTGCTCACTTTAAATAAGGGGATTTTATGCTAAGTTGAACTATATATCTCAATAAAGCTACAAAAAATAAGGAATTAATAAAAAGGTAATACATCTTCTGTCTGGTTAGTTCCATTAGTTGCCACCCCCATTTCTTCTCAACTCCCCCTTTCTTTATGCCTGACTGCTCTCTATCAGCTACTAACTTCCTTTCTCCCTCCCATCACCATCAGATAGAACCAACCTTCTGGGCGACACTCAGTCAGGGGCTCAGCTGAGCAATGTCCCCAAGCTAATGACTTCGCCACCCTCCCTTCAGTAAAGCTTACCTTAATACCTTAAATAGAATAGCAGAATAGGAGTTTAAAGTTTTATAAAACTCCCGGGGTAGGGGAAGACTATAGCAAATAGCTCCTGAATGCTCCCTATGTTTCAGGCAAAGTGCAAAGCACATCAACACCACTTTCGTTTACTTCAGCAGTAAGCAGTTCTCACTACACTTACTTTGACATTTAATATTTATTAGGTACCCGGCTGTGTTCTGATGTTGGTCACATTGCAGTGAACAAGAAAGACAGAAAGATTTTTTAAAAACCTCTTAATCATGGAACTTATAAACAAAATAAGATAAATGAGTAAAACCTAAAGAACGTTAATTGGTGATAAGTGCTATGAAGAAAAACAAAGCAGGAAATTATGAGAAGGGAATGTGGGGGAGGAGGGAGGTTACAATTTAAAGTATGATGGCCCCATGGACCTGCCCTATGAGCAAGGCTTGAAGGAAGGCAGGGTGGCGCCACACGCCTATCTGGGAAAGAGGATTCCAGGCAGTGGTGTCAAGTGCCAAAGTCCCAAGGCAGGTAGTGGTATGTGCAGGAAGAGAGGCAGCGGAGTCGAAATGAGAGGTGGCCTAATCCTGCTATAGGTCACATGAGGGCCTTCTTTGTGTCTTCCTCGGAGGAAGATGGGGAACCACTGGAGGTTTTGAACAGAGTGAGAAAAACAATGACTCAGGACAGAGCTCTGGGCCCTCTGTCCTATCACCTCTGGGTCATGACTGACTGTTCTGACCCAAAGGAACTGGGCCAATCACTGATGAAGCCAATCAAAATTTATCCCCTCTCCAAAATCTGAACTAAACACAAGAGGCTGAATTAGCCAGTGTTGGGCCTTAAATGAAAAAGTGATGGACAGTCAAGATTAGGACAGTTACTTCCCTGCCACGTCCACCCGACCAGAAGCCAACTTGAAATTCAATACTGGAAACCCAAAAGGAGGAGCAGAGACAAGAAGAGGCAGCCCGAGAGAGAGGGACGGACAGAGGAACCTGCTGTAGGGTGAGGACAGGGATATATGGGACTCCTGAACCTTCCAATAAATCTCCTGCCTTGGACTCTTTGTGTGGGTCTCCCATCCTTATAATCAAAATCCCTGGCTTAGACAGGGAGCTATATTTTGTTATCCAAGTAGCACACGTGGGACTGAAAAGGCTGTCTGTTCCTGGCTCTAAGTTTAACCCAGCTCTAATAACTCCTGAGGGAAAGGATGGGCTACAGAGGGGCAGCTGACGCCATGGCCTTCAGCCCAACCCCGGCCTCCCCCAGCTGTTGCTGGGAATATGACACAATGCCCCTAGGTGAAAACTTATCAGAAATCGGCAAGGTGCGATTTCAGTTACTTCATCCTCTTTTTAATTTCCTCATGTGTCAGTACCAGTGGCAGAGCTTTTCGAATATTCTGCTAGGCTAAATGACACATTTAGTGATATTAAGTTATTGTTACTCTTTTAGAACCAAGTTAATTAAGCCGTGAAATACTTGCTTTGAGTTAACTAGGTTCTGGGTATTTGAAGGTCCTGGAAGCTCTCTTACCACAGGCAGGCTGCAGTTTTGTTACTTGTGGGCAACAGGGCCAGGGCTAACTGCTGTCCTCCCCCCACCACCCAGCCTCCTCCTGGGCAGCATGCCAAGATGCCAAGAGAATGCCCAGGAGAAAGGCAGAGATTAATGCTTCTCTGTCAACTCTCGACTAAACCTGTTCTGAACGGCTGCTTCTAATTCCAAGGGATACAGGGAAGGGAAGAATTACCACACAAGGGTCCCGCTCAGAGCATGCATCTATGTGCCTTCTGCCCACAGGCATGCAGGCTGACTCTCAGCTGCCACCAGAGAACTGGTCTGCAGTGCTGTACCCACTACGTGGGACCCCAAAGCTGCTCATCTTTAGGTTATAACTACCAAGACCCCAATACAAGCTAATCTCCTGCTAAGCCACCAGTTTATCTAACAAGACAAGTGAAAATTTCAGTAGTTACAATTACTGAAAAAAAGGCACCACTCCTACAGCACTCCAAAGACATGAATCAACCAATCCTCCCTGTCACCCTTGGAAATGGAATGCACTTTAGATGTTCTCTCAACATTTTGGCTGAAGTTGGGAAAGTGGCAGGGATTAAAATCTCAGCCCTCTGTCTTCCACAGGACACTAACCTCTTCATGCTAATACATCTAAACAATCAGGTCACAGGTCATAATTTCCTTAGGAATTAAAGGTAAAAAAAAATCACCACCATGTTCCACCTGCAGCAGCTTCAAAATAAATCTTTCTTCATGGCGTGAAAGTTTAGTAATAACCTCATCCATGGTTTCATCTGGTTTTCTTACCCTTCTTTTCTCTTTATCACCATTTCCCTTGACAACAATTTCAACCCTGTTTCCCTGCTGCATGTTTTTGTAAGAACTTGAAATCCTTTGGGGGAACAAACCTAAGCAATAAATATATTTCTCAAATGGGACTGAAGAACCTAGAATCATTCCAAATCACCCAATGATTACTTGCTGAATGTCTGTTTTACCCAAGAGGTGGCAAGTTCAGTGAGAGAAAGAGTGAACACACAATTGGATGAACCAATGAATGAATAAACAGGTTTACTGTTGAATTAGCTGAAGGGCACAAAGCTCTTAGTGTGGCAAAGATACAAAGGGTCCTTGGGTGGCCTGTAAATTTTCTAGTAGACAATAATCTCTTCTCAGAAGCAACAGGGAATGGCTTTCTGCTCTCCCTCCGGGAGGGCTCACTCACAGGCAGAGCTAACTTCTTACCTGAGTTGCACGCAACATAAAAGGTCAGTGAGAATGTGTTCCACTGTCAATCTATTTCCCAAATGAGATTTGACCTAAATAGCCCCTAAAATTTTAAGAATCTAAGTAAGATTATAGATTTTTATCGCTGAGTCTTAAAGTGCAGATTACGTCATGTTGTCTCTGAATATCTTACACATTATTGTCACAAAAATCACAAAAGACAAGGCAGTAATATATAGTACTTCTTCCTGTACAGGTAGGTATTCATATAGGATGTATGTGTTCATCACATCCTATTAATGTCATTAAAACCTTTGCAAGGAATCAACAATAGGAAACCTGGACGTTAGTAGGGAGCAAGGGGCCTTGGTCCTTCTTATTCCCCTTTTAGCCCAAGGTTTTACTTATGTTCATTTAATGTTTCAAGTTTTGAATGTGATTTTACAACTGACTTTAGGTGGGGACTGTCGAACAGACTTCACACCCTCTTTTGGGAGATCCATTCTCTATTCTCCCAGGAAAAAAAAAAAAAAAGACAACCTTGAAAGCAAAGATGTAGTTCCCTTAAGGTACCTGGTGAGACTCCCTGCTTGCACCCCACCCCAGTGATCTAGAGAATGGTTGCAGTCATTGTGAAGGCACTCACCAGGGTGACAATGGCACATTCGGCCGTCAGCTGAGCAGCACTGAACAGTGTCCGAACAAACCGGTAAATCTGCTTCTGCTCTGGGTTGTGTTTATCATAATCTGGTGGCACTTCGGATTTCTGGGGAAGGAAATATTTTCAGATGACTGGCCGCCCAATAAAAACAAAAGAGAAATAATTAATCACCAGAAGGAGGAGATTACCGAGAGAGGGTGAAGGTTTTCATCAAAAATATCTAAGAGCATCCTTCCATCTGGGTCCCTGGTGGGGAAAATAAGAGAAAATGGAGTTTACTTTCTGCAAGAATGTCATTCAAAATAAAATAAAAATATATTTTGATTTAACACATTTCAAGAAACTGAAGTTAATGTTAAATGTTGGAGATGCTATTGGTTATCCACAAATAATAATTTTTCTTGTGTACAATATTTAATCATTTTTATTTAAACTGTCTACGAAATAAAGGTTATAAACCACATTTAGCTGAATTAACCTAAGCAAAAAAATCTAGATTTTCATTTTCTGAGTTTTCAAATGAACCAAATTTAAGCAAGTGACAAACTTCTTTAAACATCTTGCTTCTCAGCAAAGGCTAATAATGGATATGCTTAAACCATCACTACATGGTAGCTGAAAGGAAAGAAGTGCAAGGGTAAAAATGAACATTCAGTGTGCCCTAGAAATTTATTTGAAATTTTCATAACATGAAACTTAAACACTTGTTTCACAATTTTATATTGAAAAACAAGAGGTGATGTGTAGAAAAGTTTAACTCAGTAACCCATACATCTATAAAAGAATGGCTGGTTGTTACAAGGCCAGTAAATGTCATTTAAAGTGGTGACTTGCACTGTAAGCACAGTGCCTTGAGCTGGGCACTGGAGACCAACAGCACTTCACCAGCCAAGGGTCTACTTTCATCTGTTTTATGTCATCTGACTTCTAAGAGAGAGAAGGTTTCTACTACATTAAAATAGTTTATGTCTAAATTTACACCAAAGTTTCTTCTAATTTAAAACTATAAACATTTTTTCTCATGTTGAAGTTGCACATAGTAAATGTTTAAAATAATATTTTAGAAAAGAAAGAATGTTTAAGCAAATTACACAGAAAATCAAGAGAAAAAGGAAGCTGGGCATTATCAAGAAGATTTGTTCTGTTCTGTTGGCTTCAAACACAAACACCCATTTGGTTTCCTCTGATTCAGCACTTACCTAGGAAGTTTGGTAAATTATACTAACTAGAAATTCCAGGAAAACATGAGTAAAGTATACAAAGGCTGAAGCAACTACAACATAAAAGAAAAAAAAATAGGAAAAACATAATAGGAGATAATGTGTAATGTTTTTAGCAAAAAATTAATCATCCACATACCTGTTTTTGATGTGGTAATATATTGCGAGAGCTACACTGTAAAATAAAATGCAGGGTTCAATATTTTGTAAGCATATTCAAAATGTTATATGTTATCTTTCTGACCATAAATATTTAAATTGAAGTAAAAGTCAAACGATCTACCTGAACAGTCCCATTTAATTCAGAATACTGATCAAGAAATCACACTCTTCAAAGGAAATCAATCTTGTACTCATTCCCATAAATATTAAATCTTTTCCAGGAATACCAAAACTTCAAGAGGTATTTAGAAACAAATTCTCTTTCTACTTGAAATTTTAAGCTTTCTTACTTGTAAAATACAGGCACTATGTAAAAACAGGCACTGCAAATCAAACACCATTGGAAATTTCCAACTTAGTACACCTCCTAGTTTAGAAAAATTGTGGTTTATTTATAAGTACCAAAAAAATGTGAGTATCACCCACAGTGGTTTGCTGTTTTTTGTTTTTTCTTAAATCAATAACCTCTTGGCAATCCACCTAACTTATTCATCCACTTGCTGAAATAATACTGTAACTCTTATTTGTAACACTACCTTAAAATTTTATTTTACATTTTAAAGAATGTGAATTTAATGAAAACACTCCCCTCCCCTGAATATTTTTTTTCCAAGTAACGTTTTTCTGGTTTAAAAAAACGCATTATATTCATATTGTAGAACTTTTGGAAAATATAGAAAGTATATATGTAAAAAAGTAAACCCTCTGCCCAAAGATGACTACTATTAGCTTGAGATATTTAGATATCTATTCCTACCTATAAATTATATGTGTAAACAGGTTTGCATACTACTTTTGTCATTAATATTTTTCTTACCATTAAAATATGCTTTAAGACATGGTTTTAAATGGCTGGTTACATTCCACTGTATAGCTGCTGAATAATTAACTACTCCCCCTACTACTCAACTTGTTTCTAGTATTTTGCAATTATAATTAACACCGTATTGATATCTTCATAGACAAATACTTGTGCAACCTGGGACTATATCATTTCCCTAAGAAAACACTCTGTAGTTGAAATTACCCAATCTGAAGTCATTAATAATCATAAGGCTCCCCACACACACTGCCAACTATTTTTGCAGAAAAAGTGTGCCAGTGTACTTCCCCACCAGTGTTTGCTGCAACCTCATCCTTGCTGACACTTACCTTGAATATTCTGAAAAACGGTTCTCCAACTGGAGAGGTAAAGAAGTGTACTTGTTTTCAATGTGAGTTCAATGTGAGTGCTTTCAATGATCACCTATCAAGTTAGCAGGGTTATTCATGTTAACTGGCCAATATATTTTTTTTAATTTCCTCTTCTGTAAGCTGTCTAAATAAATCATTCCACTATTTTTGTTTTACTTTAAAATTTATCGAGGAGAACAAAATTTATTTTTTAAGCTTCTAACAGTATCACTAACTGGCTGCATCAGATTGTGCTCTGGGTACTCAGAGCACAGAAACTGCCATCCGGGGCATCAAGACGCAGGTGGAGGGCTCAGTCCTAAACATTTCAGCTTACTCAGCGTTGGATTCCAAACAGCTCAGAGGCTTACCTGTGACTTCCTATGACAACAGACAAGAAATCACTCGTCTTTCAAGTCTCTCTCTCTCTCTCTGGACCTATTCATTCATATGATTTCAGCTGAGTGTTAAAAGTTCTCGTGAGCAAATGGCAATATATTCTCTTTCTCCTAACATCTTCAAGAGTATCCAAGCTGACAAAGGAATTGTAACTGGGGTAAAAGGGCTTCAGAATTAAAAATAAAAATAATACAGTTTTCAAGCATACGTTAACAGCCCTGTGATGAAAAACAGCAGATGTTATCAACTCTATTTCATAAATGAGAAAAATTCAGGTTCAGACACTGGATGCCAGGATTTCTGACTGGTGGTTTGGGGCCCTTTCGTGCTACCACGTTGCCTCTGGGGAAAAGGAAGAAATTACCATTTAATTTGTTTAATAGTCATGCTGTGATGACTTTTTTCTAATCTAATGTCAGAGTTATATTGATGTTTCGTATGACTGGATTTGCTGTAGTGACTAGGTTCATCGCTTCAAGGGAGCATGACACAGGAAAAGGATTTCTGGATGGAGAGTCAGAACCACCTGGGTTTAAAACCTGGCTCCTTCATTTATTAGAGTGCATCTACCTCCCAGAGCCTACATCTCCTCACCAAAAAATTAGGACAATTCAACCTATATTACACAGCTATTAGCATAACCACACAAAATATACAAAAGAATCATTTCAAACAAAGGTCATGATTATTATGCTTATTCCCCTAGCAATAATTTCATCTCAAGGGGTGTTTTTGCTTCTGCAAATCGAGTGCAATCTTCAGGGTCCCAAGGTCACTATCTTCTGAATCTCCCAAGCCAAAAGCAAGATTGGACATCATCATGGCCTTAGACTCAGGAAAAATAGAGCAACAAGGTAGGACAATTTCCCCTCAAGGTTACATCCCGAAGACTAAGAAAACAAGCTCAGAATTCACATACAGCACAGCTCCATGGGCCAGTTTAGTTGGTCATATTGAAAGAAGTGATTCTGGGGGCACAGGGCAGTCCGCTGAAAATCAGTCCCACACTTTGGGCTTCGGAGGCCTCGTCAGTTCTGCTACATTCTCAGAAAATGGTGAGGTCTCACCAAAGATGGGCTGGGGTCAAACCAGAAGTACATTTGGACCAAAGGGTTTGCTCAACTGCTTTTGCCACATAGCTGGGTATAAAGAAATGCTATTTTCTTGACCAAGAAAACAAAACAGATTTGTGACTGCTGGCCTTGTACTTGTCCTCTTACCTAGCAAAGCATATGACAATCCTAAAATCTCTGAAGACCAAGAGGTGGTGGGTTCTGGCAGCACAACGCAGCTGAGCCAAGGGGGTGGAGGCAGGTGGGCAAGCAGCTCTCTCCAACCCTCAGAAGCCAAGGACCATGGGTGATGTGGCCAGCGGTGTGCATGGGGCTCCCTACTGGTCCTCCACCCTTTTCTCTAATCGTCATTCCTATGCCTGTTATAGGATTTTTAAGGGGGAGATGGAGGTCGGCTGCAGAGGCATGTGGGTTGGTTAGCAAATGCTAAATTCAAACCACAGCTGTTGGCATTTAGGGGAAAGATGGGAAAATCAAGTTCTCAGAAATTATGTCTATGAAAAGAATGAGCACAGAATACCCAAACTTGCTACACTTAAGACTTTTCGTTCATTGTTAGAACAGCACTTGACCCTCCATGCATTCCTCAACTAGAATTTGTAAATACGTTTGTTCCTTTTGGCAGCCCACAATTTACAGAAGGGTTTTCTTTTAAAAATTAAGTTAGAAATCGATGTTCAGAACTCAGAGGATTTTCTCAAAGAAACAAGGTCATACTTGCAAGTTCAGCCCACAGATACTCACCATGTCCACAGTGAAGCCCAAGAGTATTAATGGTTTGGGTATTTTTAATGTCCCAGGGGAGGCGACCAAGAAAAGGGCTTGGATTTAGGGAAAGCAGAAGAAGCAAAAAAGGAAAATAGGAGTTTCCTTTTGATAGGTGTAGGATAAGTTTTAGGTACAATTTCAGAATAGGAGGGCATTCGGATTTAGCTTCTTCCTATCCTGCTTTTTGACACTGCTCCTTCTTCTGAGCATCCCTTTCCCCTTACACCATCAAAGACCCTGGCTAAAGTTCAGCCAGACCTGATAACACCTTGAAATGTTTTTTACTCTTTAGCCCCCTGATTATAACCCAGCCAAGTGGGAGATGCAGGCATTTACAGGGAAGGATTCTAATGGTACTACTTCAGTTAGGGCCCACCCTGCTTCCAGGTCCAAAATACACATTTTGAAGAAGACGGCACTTTTTAAAATAAATGAATTACTGACTAAAGGAATTTCAGGTGGTGCAAAGAAAATGTCTTCTGGATCAGGGAAGTCACAGTATCAATACTGAATGTTTTGTTTCAACAGTCTACTCTTTAACTGGGCCAGCTTTTAGCTCTTTTTACTCCACGTATTAACCTATAATTTAAAAGTTTCAAGTGAACTTTGGTGGGGGAGAGGAGAGCAACTGTGCACTTACATCAGGAATTCTCAAACTTGGCTGCCTACTAGAATCTCCTAGGGAGGGTGTTAAAAATCCAGATACCAGATCTGTAGGGCAAGACATCAAATGTCACTGTGCTTTCCAGCTCCCAGAGGACTCCAGGGTGTAGCCAGGGCTTGGAACCACTGGTTTGCACAGCAGCACATTTATAACTTAGGGGACATGGAACTATCAAAGTGTTAGCCAGTTTTCCCACCAGGCTCCTAAGTGACTATGTTACAATCAGTGGCAATTTTAAGTTGTCCAAGGGGGAAGTGTTGAAAAACTGAATGGGATCCATTTGTAAATCCCAAGAGCTCCTGCTGGCCCTGAAAGGGAAGGTGCCTCTGCTCTACCTGGCCTCCCTTCGCATCCAAGAGGGTCCCGGGATTAAAGGGAAGTTAGCAGCTTTCATTCCAGGGTCTCCGGAACTTGTGCAGATGTCAGCCGCCTTCCGCTGCTCTCCACAATTACTAATGATTTACTCTAGAAACTACTTCCAAGAGCTACTGTACTTCCTATTTCCTGGCAGTAAACCATGGCCCCAAGGCTAGGACATGCATACCTTTTCCCAGCTGCAAATGTGGACCGTTTGGGTTTATGCCCACTTGTCATTTATCAAGCCCTTAAATGCCAAGGTAATAAGGGAAGAAGTTGCATTTCTATTTCAATCTCAGAAAACATGCGGCCCTTGAGGACACAAGGCAGCCTCCCTCCAAGTGGTCCCATTCCCCCCGCCTCCCGGAGTGGCTGCTTTCCACAGAAGACTGACACAGTCCCTGCTGCCTGACTGAGACTGGGATTTACTGTCACATATGGTCACACTCAGAATAGGGCTTCTAAGCCTGAAAACATGGCCCACTGAAATGAAAGAATACTTCTTATTCAGAAATTTAAACACTTAACATCAGACACTAACTTGGCCTGTTGTTAACTGTGTAATTTCTTAAAACACATATAGAAATAAAATAACCCAGGTTTTTTGCAGTTGAAATGATAACTACAGACCCCAGCACATCAGGTTTTGTGATCTCTGTCGAAGGCCATTATTATCACAATGCTAATGGAACATCATAAGAAACAAGTGTTCCTTCCCTCTTACCTCCCATTTTAAAATAAGGAAACTGAAGCCCAAAAGGGAAAGGAGTTTATCCAAAGACTCCCCCCTTCCTCCCTTAAGCCTCACTTTAAAACAAGGTTCCAAAGAGAAGGGTCTTACCCAAACCCTCCCTGTTGCTGAGAGAGCCAAGATCAGAACTCAGATCTCTCGATTCTGGGCAAATACACCGTCACCGTCGGGCCTGCTTTCTACTGTAGCCCTGAGGCATAAATGGGACCACAAAAGACCCACTTTATTTCAAAGGTAAAATATTAGTTGAGTTATTCCAGGATGGCTTTAATAAAGAGTGGGAAGGTAGAAATCAAATACATGTGTTCATCTACATTTAAAATAATTTTTAAATTTGGTCTTTTATGTAAATGGTAATGTGCTCAAATATTTTGAACACCCCACATTTTAACTACCAAGATCACTTTTTAAACAGATTTCCTCAATAGTCAATGGCCTCCTCCAGCCCAATCTTACCACTTCCAGACCCCACAACCAGCCAGTTAGCTGTCAGGTTAAGGAACAGAAAAAGCATTCAGTTAAGCAAAAATGAGTATACCCACCATTTAATTGTATACTTGAGGTTTGGTTGACTGACTGTGCTATCATCTAGGAAAATAGTGGAGCAGGAACTGTATTTCCTCGCTATTTGTCCTGGAGGATGCTAGAAAACAATGGCAACAAGACAGGACAATTAAGTGGGACTCCAAATTCTTCCAAGAAACATCATCCCCTTAAAACTTGATATCAGACCACAGATGAAAAATGTCTTAGCAAGAAATAATAATACCACCAGCAAGAACAGTACAAAAACACTTTCTTCATACAATGAAATCCCTTGTTCTTCTACATGTAGAAGTCACTACCACCACTGCTAGTCCCAAACCTCCTTCACTGGGAGAACAGTACTCTCTTGCAAGGAAGCACCAAAGAGTGTTTTGCAGGGTCCATAAAAATCACCTGCCCTGGGGCCTGTGTGAAACAATTAGTACACTGCTCATTACACCAGTGAAAGCCCCTAATTAAGGCAGCATCCTGGTTTTATGCATCAAGATGAAGGCAAGAGACAACTGTACCCATTTTCTTTATTCTTGGGGTACAGCTGATTTGGAGGCCATGGAAAATGCAGCCAATGTAAATTTAGATCTCCTGGTTAATCGGCTTGAATTCAGGAGGTGAAGTTATAAAGAAAAAAGTATTGCTTTGTTAGGGGCGAAACACATTTTAAAGAGGAAGATTATCTGATACTTTTGAAAATACAACCAATGGATGACCTTCAGGTAGTGCCTGTTCTGTCTTATGACTGGTTCTTTCACAAATGTAAAAACTTTGGGCTCTCTGAAGCACCTCAGCACTGAGTACTACTTCTGAAAGGTACTGGTAAAGAAAACAGAATTTAAATTATACACTGATGACATCTAACTGAATACTAAATAGATTTTTGCCAATATGTGGGCGATAGGATTAGTAGACATTATTCCAGATAATTCTTATTCAAAAGCAAGTTAGGAAAAAAAAAAAACAAAAACAAATCACCCAAACAAGTTTCCATTTGTCTGGTGCTATGTTGACGGTCTAAGAGGCATTTTCAGCAACTGATGCAAATAATCCCTTCAGAGCTAATAAAACTGGCTGCCTCAAGTGCCCATCTGCAATAAAATCCTGTGTCCACACTTCACAAATGTAAAGGAAGCCTTAAAGCTAATCAGAGACCAAAGGCCCTATTCCACACTTTAAAATTTACTTTATATTTAATCATGTTTCCTCTGTAATAAAATTAGGAAAATATGCAATAGCCTGAGAAATACAAAACCAATGTTATAAACAGAATCTCTCCTCAAAACTAAGTAATAAATGGTAATAGTCACGATTTCAAGTGTCCAGTTCCTTAGACCACAGCTAGAGGGCACTGCACTACCGAAACATTATAACCCTCCCTGGCACTGGTTTATAAATAGCATGTGGGTCAGAAGGAAATAACCAAAGTCAGGAAATTCAGTTCTCAGGCTTTCCTTCATAAGTTCACACTGTTTTGTGCCTGTGTAAGGAAAGGGCACAAAAAAACTTGCGAAGTTCAAGTTACAATTTGAATGTCAATTTTAAAATGGCATTTTCATATCTATCAAATTAATCATAACATTCTCATTACGACAATCCAAAGACACTAAAAATAATTTTTTCTCTTCTTAAGCTCTTATAGCAATCATATTTAAGTCACACAAAACACATTAAAAACTCAGAACATAATACAGCTATTAATACAGGTGGCAAGCTTTTAAAGGTCTTATGAAATTTTCCCCATGGGTGTAAAACCTACTACAAACAAAATCTCAACAGATATTATGTTTAACACAAAAATTCAGTAATTAATTGATGTTAATGAATTTTTAGAGACACGGGGTAACTTTAGATATAATCCCAACAATAAAGCAAAAGGACAATAATAATTCACTTTATTTTGTGTGGTTTCAACTATTCCTTCTGACACAAATTTCTCAGGATTAAAATGTGATAGGAACTGCGAAGAATAAATAGTTTCCCTAAGAAAACATGAGCATGGGTGTCAAGGAGAGGATATGAGATAGGTGAACATCATCCACATCCCTTTGCAGTCTAAGAAACTCCCTCCGTGAGCCCACGGGCAGGCACACCCCCAGGCGCACACAGTCCCCTAAGGGTCAGAGGGTTACCTGAAAGCAGCCCCACAGAACGGCAGCATCGCAGCACTCAGGGCTGGCGTGCCACAGCCCTCAGTTTGCCAGGGGAACACCAACTAAGCTTTCAAACTCTACAACAACGTCTAAATTGAATACAAATCCTCAGTATTGAGTTATAAAGATTTTTAGTTGCAGGGTGCCTCATCAGTCTATAATACCATTTGGGTGTTAAATCACTTGTTGAATGTCAGGACTACAAGATTCAGAGAATGTGTACTTCTCTGGATCTGAAATCCATGTCACTAAAAGGTTCAAATAATTAGAATCCTGCAGCAAAAAAGCTCTTGCCTCTGGGGTTGCTCTCCTGCTCTGGTTTCTGTTTTGAACGGTTCTGTGTAGCAGAGGGAAGGGAGAGCCAGCCCAGGCACCAACACCTTCCGACGAGCAGCACCAATGTGTATCCTGCAACACAGACAGCTGGAAGTGTCTGTGAAGCCTCTGAAGCATCAGAGACACATGTACATTCACAGAAAGTGTGTTCTCATTTGTTAAATATTTTGAATAAGCACATGGTGCACCAGATACATGGTTCTCAGTTTTAATATTATATAGCATAATACTACATTAATTTAGTCATCCCATGATTCTGAAAAGTCCATATGCTCGTACATGTGTATGTTTGGCACATCTAAAATCTTCCAATTAGGTTTCAGTCTTGCTCATAAATAACATGGCCACATGATGCGCTGGAGAGCTGCAGTCAAGAAGACAGATGCTAGAGTGGCAACTGCAGGTGCGAGCTAATATTTATAAAGTGCTTAGAGAAGGGCCAGCATATGAGAAGCATTACATCAGTCCTTGTTAAATAAAAAGTACATTAAACATGTCAAAAAAGAAGTGCTGTGAATTGTGCAAGACTGTTGAATCCCAGACCTGTACCTCTGAAACAAAAAATACAATATATGTTAAAAAAAAAAAAAAAAAGAAGAAGAAGATAGCAGGAGGGGAAGAATGAAGGGGGGGGAATCGGAGGGGTAGACGAACCATGAGAGACGATGGACTCTGAAAAACAAACTGAGGGTTCTAGAGGGGAGGGGGTGGTGGGTATTGAGGAGGGCACATTCTGCACGGAGCACTGGGTGTTATGCACAAACAATGAATCATGGAACACTACATCAAAAACTAATGATGTAATGTATGGGGATTAACATAACAATAAAAAATTTTTTTAAAAAACATGTCAAAAAAGTGATAGGAATGCTTTTTTATGCTAATGTCTGTAACTTATTAGAAATATACCGAAGAAAATACCTAAGACAACATTTTACTGGAAAAGGAAGGGCACAGCAGTATCGTTAGCTGGCTCAGACAGATGGTACCAAGAATGACAGTCCTGGCGAAAGAGCAGATACTATAATGTCAACCACAAACTGCTTGGAAGAGCAGCAGAGAACAGTCCAATCAGTGAGAAGCCCAATTATGGATTTTAAGGAAATAAATGCTCTAAACTATTATTCAAAATATTTTAATAAAAATTTTTATCTTTGAAATAGTGTATATTTTACAAATTAAGTAATAAATACGTGGAATAAAACTTTTTAGAACTGGAGTGAAGATCGTCTAGTCCACCTATTCACATAATGTCCACAGTATAAAATAACCTATTTACACCCAGATCCATTAACAGACAATTGTTGGACTGTGTATTTAAGAAGGTTTTATTGAAGAGTTATCATGTGTCCCAAATAATGAGATCATCCCTTTCTGTGATTCCAATTAGATGTCTGTCAGATACAAAGATATGTAGATGCACACGCGTGCGCGCACACACATACACACACACAGACAATCCAAGTGCAGAACAAAGAGAAATGGTACAGGGATAAGACTGACACTGGACCCTCCACAATGACCAGAAATCCTTCTCCCAAGTATCCCAACCCCCACCTTCTTCTCAGATCCTCTGTCGGCTGCCTCATGCTGAGCTCCCGCAGCACCACGCATTGCAGAGAACTGAGAGCCCATCGGGCAGCATCCACCCTACTGCTTCTTCCTCCCTTGCAAACAAACATGTAGTACTGCCCCCCTCACCTCCAGTGGAAGACCTACCATTCTCCAGGCCAGGGCTAGGTAATGACTCTGCTTCTTCAAATTTTCTAGAAGTTGGCTCACACTCCACATGCAATACCCATTCACAAAGAACCCCGAACCGCTATTGTAATGAGTACTTTCCAGTCCTAGCTCTCTCCTAGTTTCCTTCTATTTTTCTGGCTAGTAGGTCCCTTTTTGTGGACTCCATTTCTCTGAACTCCCTGGGAGGTGACAGTCTTTTCTTCTCCCTGTATACTCTCTCCCTAGGGGGTCCTCCTATAGTCTCATTAGTTCAACTTCCTTCTACTCTCCTTTGAGTCCCAAATCTCTCCTCTTTGGCAAAACCTCTCTTCCAAGCTCTCCACCTAAATGTTCCTCATAGGCACCTCAAATGACAAACGAATCTCTTCTTCCATTCAATTAATAATGGCTTAAAACCAGAAACCCACACATATTTTGTCTTTCCTTTGGTATCCTTGCATCAAGTACTATTAATTCTACCTCCTAAATACATTTCAAAAGCATTTTCCTGTACATCCCTCCAGCCACTAACTGGTATATGAATGGCCTCCATCACTTCTCACCTGTATTACTGCAAAAGCCATCCTGTCTCTAGGCTCATTCCTCTCCAAACCAGTCTCCCTCTGATGCTACTGTGATCTTTTTACAAAGCAAATCAGATCATGTCACCTCCCTGCTTAAATGATTCAGAGGTTCTCCATTGCAGGGAGGAGACATTCATCATCTCTTCATGTCCCCAGGTCACCACTCACTTCTTCCTTCCACATACACTACACTTAGATATAATTAAACGGTGACATGATGACAGTAACAACAACAACTTTTATTTAATGGCCATCAAATAAAAGCCAACAGTATTCTGGATACTTTACATGTGTTCATTTACAGCTCACAA